GGTTTAGGGGGGTTAGGTTTAGGTTTAGGGGTTAATTTTAGGTTTAGCGTTTACAGCGTGCTTCTGTCTCCGCGCTGTTGTCGCCTTGTGATGACGTCAGCTACGTGGTTTCGTCGAGCGCACTTTAGTGGAACGCGGTTTTGTGGTGGAACCAAATGGGCTACTGGGGGACTCCTGGGAAGGGAGGGGTGGGGTGGGTGGGGCCAGACAGAAGTGGGATTTGGGGGTTCTCCAAACTGCACAGAATCTTAGCTAGAGGTTCTCCCAAACCCCTGCCAGTAGTCCAGCCCTGAAAATTGGTGAGCCTAAGGGAATGAAATCTGCTTGGGAAAGCCATGGGAAATCATCAAAACCATAAAAAAGCGAAAGTTAGAATATTTCAGACATGTGACGCGACACCCAGAAAAATACAGGATCCTTCACTTAATCCTCCAGGAAAAGATTGAAGGGAAATCCAGGCGCCAGAAGAACATCATGGCATCAAAATCTAAGGGACTGGTTTGGACAAAACTCAACAGCACTTTTTCATGCGGCTGATAAAAATGGGATCATCAACATGATCGCCAATGTCCAATGAGGGATATATGGTACAAGAAGAAGAAAGGAATAATGAATCAATTGCAGAACTGCTGGGAAATATAGGCCGGGGTTCCTTAAAATTACTTAATAGCCTTTTCATTTAAAGATATGCCACTGAGAATAGATGGCAGGGTTATTTTTAAAAGTAAACATTTAGTAGCTTATTTTCACCGCGACTGTGGATTCATCAGCAAAAGGAAAATTATTACTTGATAATTGATTGCAATTGAACGCTGTCCTGGATAGTTCCTTGGCCATAAGGTCAACATTCAGAAAAGTCATTTCCCTCCAGGTATGCCTCTGGTAAGCTTTCTATTAAGAAAAAGAAGATATCAACCTTTTCCCTGTACACCGGAGACTCAATATAGTAGAGTAAGTTAATATGTTGGACTAAGAAGGTTAAACAGTTTATTCAAGTCTACTTTTTACCAAAAAAAATATAACTGGCTGAATGAACCAGACAACTGCTCAACCAACCTACTTCACAAAGCTGTGCAGGTGAAATTAAACTGCATTCCAGTAGTCTAATCCAGGGGTTTCCAAAACTGACAACTTTTAAGACTTGTGGACTTCAACCCCCAGAATTCCCCAGCTAGCCATGGGGAACATGTCTCAATGTTTTTCAACCTTGGCAACTTTAAGAGAGGTGGATTTCAACTCCCGGATCTCCTTCAGCCAGCCATGGGAAACATTGTCTCTAGTCCAATGGTTCCAGTGGTGGGATTCAGCCAGTTCGCACCACTTCGGGAGAACCGGTTGTTAACTTTCTGAGCAGTTTGNACTGCACGTCCCTGCTATGGTTACTATCACAGCAGATCACTTTAATTGAAATTAATGTTTCCTTTGGTGTTCATATTTGAAAACAAGGGCTACTTGTTTCATAAATACTCTCTAATTCCAGGACAGCCGACTACAAAACATTCAAACAAGAATCCTCCCAATGATAGTTTACAAACCTTAGTACTACCAGGTTGAATGCTATGATTTCTCTTTGCTCAGTTGCACAAGGGTGCTTAGAGAAGAATCATAGGAGTAATTAAGTTTTTCAATTATAGTTCATTCTATAAATCTTCAAAGATGACTTTGATATCAGTTTCTCTATTATGGTTCCTCTCTTTATACCCATCTTTGAAACCTCCAACATCTTAACACCCAATATACATATTTAACGTGACAATCTGCTGAATATTTTTTGGGAAATAATATCCACTGAACTGATGAATCCAAGTATCAAATATTTACTTTTAGATTCCAAGCAAGCATGCCAAGCATTATATTCCTAGTCCTGACACCGTCATTAAAAATATAGTCTTACCGTTTCATGAATGACTTCGGTACATTCACCTTCATGCTTTATTGCAGGGATATATTTGGCATTCCTGTAAACAACATACAAAGTGCTATTACATGAGTTTTGATTATCCCAGATAATTATTGTGATGATCAATCAAAAACCTGATGGGTAGGTTAGGTTACAGAACAAATAAAACTCACAGACACACTCACATTTACAGAAGACACAAAAATGTCAGTTTAAAAGTGGAGAAATACCCTAAATTTCAGCTGAAGCATTGGGAATTGGGATAATTATACCCGGTTGAGTTAATATATGGTTTAGTAACCATTGCAGACCTTGGTTGTTGTGCATAATTTAGCATGACAAACTGGATTCTTGCTTTCCAAATTGCTCCAGTTTTGTAAGTTCATCAAATTTTGGATGATCCTATGCTAGAATGCTAACATTTCTTGAAAAAAACAAGCAAGGTGTATCACATTTCAGCTATTTTTATATTTAAAATAATGTGAAGTTATCTGAGAGAGCAAGCATATCATGGAAGGAAGATGACCACTCTAGTAACTGTAGACCCCATACTACTTCTTTTTAATTTGTATGACTGTGTTAGGGCACGATCAAACACACAAAACCTGGTTTTGTGGCAAAAACCTTCTAACTCTAGGAGCTGCAAGGACTTCCCCCTTTTGCTTTAAGTAATCTTGTTTCATTAGTCTTTTAAAATATGCTTTTCAGCTGTTATCTTCCCACCAACTGATGTGAAAAACAGAATAACTAAAATTTTAATAATAAGAACAATAAAATTACAAGGGAAATCCCAGACATTCTTTAGTGCCCAACTATAATATGTCTTTAAGGTTTTCAGCAAATAAAGTTGTCAGTTTTGAGGATTTATTCATGAGGAATAATATTGTTGGAAAGCTTATGCTAAAACAAGGCATTCCCACAGTGCCTGTGCAGTCTCTATACCTGAAGCACACCTTTGTGTTGCAAAACCCAGATAAATTGACCCAACCTTTAAAGACTTGTCACACAGACCTTTTAGACTGTCTACCATCATTCAACATTCAGTGGATGATACAATTTGTCAAATCAACTTCACTAGTCACTGTACAGATGCTTGGTATTTTGCATCAAAATTTTAGAATCTGTTCCTGATCCAGACACAAGATGTTGCCATGTCTTTACATTTCTACAGTCATTGTTTCTTATCAGCACTATTAAATTTAGATTTTCTTTTGGATCATCTAGTTGATTTGCAATTCTCTGCCTCAAAATAAACACCACATGCACTTCCTCATTATGAGACAAGTTCTATCTTAACCAGTCATTAAACAAGCCTGAAGTCTCCAAAAGAACAGTGATCAAGATAATATTTGTAAGTGCATCACACTTATACTGCATTGTTGTCATTTTAATTGAGGCTTTTCTGTGTTTGTCATAGCCAATCACCAATCAAATATTAGATAGCTTGCTATGGTGTAAACATAATTAATACTCTACTGCAAAGGTGTACATGAGTCAAATTACCTTTACAGTGCAACAGGAAATAATGTTTATACTCACGCAATTGCT